TGACAACTGTAGCTAAAGAGAAAAATAAATGGTAGATAAGGAAAAGTAAGGAGGTCAACCATGGCTAGGATAACAGGCTTGCTAAAAGCATTTCAATGTTTTAGCTGCCTGGTAAATAAGACAAGTGTAGCACGAAGGAACAGCATACAAGCCTGAGGCCTATCAACATTCTTAGTTTCTTTTCGCGCATTACTGGTGGGCAGGCTGCGCATAATTACTGGTTTGTTCAGCACACTTCTTTTTAGAGAAAAAGGAAGCGATAACACTGCTGGCCAACCACTGGTATCTATTGAAGAGATGCAGTAACTCACTCAATTATGTGACCCAGAAAAGTGCTTATTAACGCGAGCACCTATTATTGATTCCAGACTTTCTACCCCCCACAACACATCGAAGCTGCGCTGTATTGAACGCCACTTTTCAAACGTGCAGGTTAGAAGGGAAGCAAGGAAAAACAACAAGGAAGGAGGCAGGGAGGTTAACCAGGCCCTTGTCTGGTTGGCTACCCCCTGCTGGTGGGTTTGGAAAGGAGTATAAAAATGAAAGAGAGAGAGGGAAACAAAAGGGAAAGAGGCAAGAAAACTGAGAGTTAATGGATGGAAGTGCACGCAGTGGTGGTACTCTACAAAAGTCAAAAGCGTTCACGAAGGCTTATGGTCCCTAAAAAGGCCCAAAAAGGGCTTTGAATGCCCTGTGAGCCGATGAAAGACGAGGACGGTGCTCCAGCAGCATTTGCACGAAGAGTGTCTGATCGTCTGAGTGTCGCGACGTGTTCGAAAAGTTAATCTCAGAGAATTAAATGGAGGGCAATAGCATAGCAGAATATTGATGTATTTTTCGGTACCGAAGACTTCGAATGCTGCATTGTCGGTCACTCCAATTAGAGTTGTATATGTTACAAGTAAAAGTAACTACTGCGGCACACACGATGTAAAATATGCGTGGTGAAATATGCGTGGTCTCCCCGGGTAAGTTCCGTGAGAATAAAATGAAAGAGCATGTTCTACGTTATTTTCAATTTGCCACACAGCAAATAACACGTAACCTTCATCCCGAGCTCTTGAAGTAAGAAAGTGTCGCTGTTTTTTTTTTCCCTTTGATCATGTCACTATGATGACGACAACCGAAGATCTGTCGAGACTACGCGAGACCTTCCACGAATCCACTGAAAATGAGTGAATTTTCAACTAAATGTTTTGTCATATTATATATTTTTTTCAATCTGAACATTTCCATAATACTGAACTTTATCTTCACCATCTTCATAATTAAAGCCAGTTCCTTTCCTGTAAAGCGTGTTTTGCCTGTTGAGCAGTACAGCAATGCGGTGAAGCAAGCTACTATTCCAAGCATGTCGCGACAGTCACAACTCAAATATTATTGAGCAATGTGTGACCGCATAGGCAATTACTGATGATGTTCTCGTGTTCTGTTCTTCTGTTTGGTTGTCGTCGTCTTTCAATCCCGTTACATTGTCTCTAGAAAACGCGGGTTACATTGCTGGTTATGGCTGTTGCATAATAATGGAGGTGGCATGAAAAAATTAGGTACAGCAGTCGAGATAGATTAATGTGCATATCAAAGCATTCTACGTGGTCAGAATTATTCCGGGGTCGCAGACTACAGTTAAGCTCGCTCCTACATTGTGATTTCTCTCATGTTCAGATAGGCGGTTGTAGCCAGAACGCCCTTCCTGTGTGCGTTTTGTTTTCTCTCAAGTGCGCGTCCGTTTTTTTTTCTTCTTTTTATATCTCTCTCTTTCTCTCTCTCTTGACACCATCTTTCTTGCCCTGTTTCCTACTGCCAGTGCTGGTTAACAAACCGGATCCCTATATCTGGTTAACCTCCTGGCCTTTCTCTATCTCTCTCTAACGTTATTCTTTCGTTATTCTGCTGTCTCACGAACAGTGCGAGACCGCGCTGTGCCGTCTAGAGCTGACTATTCATCCATCCTTTCCTTACTCTTCTCCTTTTTTTAAATCTATTTTCTTTTCTATTATTTCCCCCTTTATTCCACCCCAGGTGTAGGGTAGCGAACCGAGCCATAGTTTGGTTAATCTTTCTGCCTTTCCTCTCAATTTCTTCCTTTCTCATGCAAGTCAACAAAATGTGGGCCATTCTGGTTGCATCACGTTCCTGCTGTAGGCAAACTCTCTTTCTCTCTCTTTTACACTGTTGTTATGGCATGTGTTTATGTTTAGCAGCAGGACGACCTGATTTCCGTGGACGTATAGGTTTATTCGTAAGCCCAGGACAAAGGGAACGCTCTAGTGCTAATCCATCCGCTCAGTGATCCAATCAGTCAGCCTCTTGATTCTATTCAGTCTTTCGAAAGCGAACAGATTTAGCTAATCACGCTGGTTTTACGTAAGGGGTAAACTTTCTGGCCCACGGAATGAATATCACTTACGAACTTGAGTTTAAGTCTTACACCCAGATCGCCTTAGAGGAAATTCCAAGTGCCAACTTCGGCTTTCCACAGTAAGGGGGAATACGATATGAAATGTTGAAAGGTGCGATTTCATTTTTTCATTTGAGCTTAATGCAAAGCTGTTGAAGAGTTCTGAAGAAAGCAAGCAGTGTGTTAGACTCGATTTGTAAAGTATTTGTCAATATAAAATAAAAAAGAGCAAAAATTACTAGCATACTGGCGTCCACTTTATTGAGGTCACTTTTTGTTTCAGAAAATGGTTCATGAGTTCAATGCCAAAACTTTCTCGCATTCCATTCAACATCCTCATCTGACTTCTCCTTTTAGCAAAGATTGGTGGAAAGTGAACGGCTTTTGAGGGCCCTGTTAATGCTCAGATGTGAAAAAAAAAATACAAAAGCGGTGGACATGACTGGAGGTTGTGAAGTGGGGCGTGAATTTGAAGAAGGGGTGCCCTGGCACTTAAACCCTTTTCGCCAATCCGCTTGCATTTCAGCTTTGAGAGGCTTTTCTCCGCATCACATGGTGCTCCTTTCGTTTCCTTGGTTGGTCCCGTTTTTTTCGTGACTTCTTACACCACACACACACACGGAATCCACGGTGCCCGAGGTGATTCTGGATTCGTTATTTCGCGTCGAAGCGGAAATGAAAAGGAGGCGAAAAATCTGATCAGCTAGCAATTTTTTCTAATCTTGCTGCAGACCCGAGCTCTTCTATGCTATGTTCACTGAATCATGGTGAACTCTTTACGCAATCAATCCGTGACCGTAGCCTTAAACCCTCCCAAGCTGGGCCTTTCTGCACCCGCTTCATACGCCAGTGGTTCTCTATCGGAGAGGCAATGTACTTCGTTTTATAGGCGTCATGTGGTGATGGTTTAACGCCTAGGGCTTTGAGGCAGGGCTTCATACGGTCAGATTTGAGTGCGAAAGAGGCAAATGTTCGTTTGCGTTACGTTTCATTCTAAGCGTCAGTCGTAACTATGAAAATAAAAAAAAACGTCTTGAAATCGTCTTTCCTTTGAGCTGGAGTGCGCCATTTCGCTTTTTTTTTTCTCTTCATAATATGAATAAATGTCACACCTGATCAGAAAGACAAAAGCGCTTCAGATTCATGCCTGCATAAATGTTATTCTCTAAACTCACCACTAAAGTTTTCTTGGGGCACACTTTTTTGTTCGTTTGTTTGTTTGCGCAAGAGGACGTAACAGCACACGTCTCGCCGTAATGAGGGCGCATATTTTCATGCCTATTGTACTTGCTGTTTCTTCTTCAGTGCATTTACTTTGCTAATAGCAATGCTTCCTAACAAAAACTTACACGCGTTGTGCAAAACTGATTTTTTGAAATCCCAAAGAACAATGCTGGACATCACAGGACTCAGATGACTTTTCATTGGAGAAAAGCTTTTGTTGGTGCAGTGATTGCTTTCTTTTCGCGCACACACAAAAGAAAACTTACGACAGTATCCCATGCAAAAACAGGATACGACCATGCCTTACGATAGGCACATTATTTAACGAAGCTAGCAAACCAGCATCTGAAATCACCGTTGAGCAAGAAGCCCCGTGAAATACGCCCCATATGAGCGCAAATTGGCCGGTGGATACTTTGTTAACAGCATTTTTGTAAAGTGTAGGCTTGTTTTCTCAATTAGGAGCCTGAAAAGTGTAAAATAAGTAAAAATCAATTACGCAAGGTAATTAACGTATAGCTTTTTTTAATCAGTGAGCCACAGCTGAGGAGCAGCGTGTAAAAGGAAAGTTAGGGAATATGTGTAGAAGAGAAAGCGGAAGGCTGCTAATTGCTCTTCTTGCACTCCAGGAGCAGACCGTGTACTGATGTCATGGCATCTAATTCTTGTAGCGCCCTTTGATAAACAAAGTTGAAAGAGAGAATGAAAGAGTGAGAGAGCCAGAGAGATTGTGTTTGTGTGTTCGAAGGTTGAGCGGTTATGAGCAACAATAGCAATTTGTAATTTGGTGAAAGTGAAATAAGCTTTGTTACATCCAATTCTTCTAGCCCTTTTTTAATTTAAAGAAAATAGTATTCTTTATTCCGATTTATCCTTCATGGCATTCTTTGGCGAAGTATGGTCATTGTGCCAATAAAATCGATATAAAGTCATCATCATTATTCTCCCTTCCACCCATCCGTCTCTCCGTCCACCCATCCATCTGTCTGTCCGTCCAAAACCGAATAACAAACAAAGGAAAAATGAACGAAGAGACAGTGTTGATAATAACTTGATAATGTGGCATATTCAGCTAACTAGTTCTCCCTTCTCGCTGTTTATTGTTACCTTAAGGCCATTTAATTTGTCCAGTTTGCTAGATTCCATGTGTGGAGCAAGCTATCAGTTGGAATTTCTGTCCTCATCATCTAAGGCAGTGTGATCGTAGTCGTTACTGTCCTAGTTTATATCATTAATAAGCACAGCATCTGAAGGCTCGTGCATTTCCCAATTCACTTGCCTGGCAAAATATTTCACCTCTTCCGATAACCTTTTGCTCGCAGGAGCGCCCGGCCGGCGGGCGACGTGGCGCCGCAGCTAGCGGCTGTCGGCGGCGATGCGTCGGCACCGGAGCCCCTACCCGGGGTCCCGGCTGAGCGCGCTGCGTGGGGACCCCGGTCCAGGTGGTCCGCCGCGCAGGGACGACGACGATGGGCCCAGCCCGCCGCTCTGCTGCAGAGACCGCTCCAAGTCACGCTCAAAGTCACGCTCCAAGTCCCGCTCCAAGTCCCGCTCACCGGAGTCCCAGGTACAATTCCGCCGAATTCGGACCTTGCAAGGCTTGTCAAGGTTGCAGAAGTGTTGCGTAGTTGTATACAGCTATGTGCTTAAAAGGCAGAAGTTACAGCAGATGGCATTAAGAAAAATGAGGGGAAAAAGTAGAATATTCTGGACCGTTTTGTTTACGCGAAGGAACCAGGCACCCAAGAGGGGGAAGGACCCGCACCCGCACGCCCGCACACACATCAACACAGACAAACAAACAAACAAACAGACAGACACACACACACACACACACACGCACGCACGCACGCACACACACTGACAGACAGACAGACAGACGGACGGACGGACAGACAGACAGACAGACAGACAGACAGACAGACAGACAGACAGACAGACAGACAGACAGACAGACAGACAGACAGACAGACAGACAGACAGACAGACAGACAGACAGAGAGAGAGAGAGAGAGAGAGAGAGAGAGAGACAGGCACGCACATTTGTGTTGGTTTAAAAACAGGTGGTTGGTTGCCAGGGCAAAAGAATTGTGGTCGTGGATGCAAAAATTTTCCAATAAGCAGTGGTTGCCACGGTGTCTCGTGTAATTTTGCGACTCCTTTTTGTCTCTTTGTCGTCATTCTGTTCTGGCGCTATAACTATCGTCATGTCATACCAACTAGCCCAAACTGTCACAGTTCATGAGCCACTCGAAAAACAAATTGGCATGTAAAGACAAACTGCTGTATGGATTAGACGCAGAAACAAAACGAAAATAAAAAAGAGAAGAATGGTAAAAAACTTGAAATAGACGAGCAAAGAAAAGCTCCCATAGGCATTCGCGTATGGTCCTGCCTGAAGTGGAGCGTCCTTTCTTTTTGGCCCTCCGGTAAAAAAAAAGAGAACTAGGAAAAATAAAAAAAATGCGTGAGGGCTTGGTAAGTTTGCACTTTCCCTGTTATTGTGTGGCCCATTCGCGTAATGCGACGGAGTGAAATGAGCCAGTTGAAGCGCGAGAAAATTGCCCCGGGGCTATGTAGCATATGAGCTTTTCCGGCCGAAGCCTGAATTCTTTCAACGCCCAGTGGTGGTGACGACGACGGCATTATGTCCCTTACACAGCGTGCCAGTGTTTCTCATGCGCAGTCTAACGACACTACATCAGCAAGAGCGGACAAGGGGGGAGTAGAAAAAAAGAAGAGTGGACTTAGAGGAACGGAGATAGAGAAGGGAAGAAGCGACTGCATGAATGCCAGCTCACGCGAAATTGCATTAGCCCTCAAAAAGGACTTTGCGGTGCTCTTTATTCAGAGACAAGCTCGCTTTCCCGTCCTTTCTCATTCATACCCGTCCCGTCCTATTTGCGAATGAAAATAAAAAGAAACACGGCCTGCTGTGTAGCATTTCACACCAAATAATGGCCGCATTGACGGCGTGGGAGCCGTGAGTTGCCAGTCATTCTCGTTCGATATTTTTTTTTTACCTTTTCTCTGTCCGTTGCGATATCATTCATATATGTGAACACGTAGGTGTTGCTTTCGAAATTGTGTAGCCTCAAAATGGTAGTGTGCTAGGCCATTCGGTGGAACGTATTGTGAATGTGTGAACAAAAGACAGAAGGAACTCGCAGTGAATGGACATACAGCACTCAACTTACGACTATTTTATTGCGTTCTTCAATTGCACAAGAGCACAAGGTCACGCACGGCATCACAAGATGTTAGTTCGGTATATATACCGCACTGAGTTACTTCGGTGTGGTACTACATTTTGATAAATTAGGCTACACGCACTAGGTTGCGGAGTCTTGTGAATTTTTTTTCAATAAACATCATTTGTGCGTTAAGCGTCTCTCTTTTCATTTCATTTTAATTGTTTCTCTTTCAAGTTCATACTTTCACGAAATATATAACCGACACACATTACTGGCACAGCTTCTGCGGTGAATCTGTGCAAGAAATGCATGGTGACTAAAGCTTGAATGCTGCTGCTTTGTGGTTACATTTCTGAGAACAAAGTGATCGGAAGTAGAATGGGTGACTGGTTTGATTGGTGGTTATTCATATTACCGAAAAAAGAATCTACCAGCACAAGACGCTAAAAGAAGTGTCGGTCTCTTCCCTCTTCCGCGTCCCTTGAGACCAGCAACGAGAAAAAATTAAAGTTTTCACTTTCTCTCTCTTTCTATTTGTTTTTGTATGAACCTAAGCGGCAAAACACTTAAGGCGTCGCTCTTAGCTCGAGAACGCGGTTGCTGTCGCATCTTTATAGGGGTGAAAGGCAAAGAATGCCCGTGTGCTTAGATTTAGGTGTGTGGTCGCGAACCACTGGTGTTCGAAACAAATCTGGACTCCCGCGCAACCATGTCCCGCGTAATCACGTTCTGGTACCTAAGACTCAAGAAATTACTAATACCATAGCCCTAATAATCAAAAATGTTTAATTATTACTTATAAAAGGCAAAATTTACCTTCGGCGCCGGCGTTCCACGGCGTGACGGACGAGAGCTATTCAAAAAGCATTATCACGTGATGACGCAAGCAGATGATGCCATGATGACGTCACATCAGAAAATGTGTGATGTCACCATGACGTCACGTGAAGTAACGTTGAACAATGACGTCATCACATGACTTCGTAGTTTTGTCAAAGGTGGTCTGATTGTGGAGGCAGTGCGAAACCATGTTAGGCTTGGAAATATTTCTAAGAATGGCGTGGGAGAATCACTGCATTCATGGAGATTAAAAAAAAACAACATCGCTTCCTTGTTCGAGACGTCTTCAGTGAATATGTAAGGGATTGTGTGAGTTTTCATTATCAATTATTGCTACGCCTTGTATCCGTCGACCTGTTTTTTAAGTGGCGTAAAATGCCATCGGGTCCAAATCTCGATAAAGCCAACTCTGCTGTGGCTGGATGGAAGACATACCCGCTTACGCAATGATAATAATGATGTGCGTTAACTAGCAGCGCCAGGTTTCGCCAAATGGAGAAAAAAAGGCGAGCGAAGGCTGGGAGGTCCAGTTTGCCTGTCCTGCAGTCCTGTCCAGTTTGCTGCCCTCCATTGGGGTGAAGGAATGAAGGAGAGAGCACAGGGGTAAAATAAAATAAAGCCAGCCTTGATCTCGCTCTCGCTTCAGGCGTAGCACCAAATTGTATCTGTCGAAGGGGCTCAGAAAGAAACAAATTTGATCGGACTGATAAGGCATTTATAACATGTTTGTTTGCATAATCAGAACTTAGTCATATTACGGAGAAACACGCGCTGTAGAAATTCGTGACGTCACAGTGAGCTCGTATGTGAGCTTAACAGTGGCGCTGCTACTGCGTTTTCTTAAAATTCACTGTACGAGCAGCTTTTGTTTTTACTTGATGGTGCCACAACATGGTGACTCATTACGTAGCTAGCTTAATGCTCTCTTTTGTAGCTGTGTAAAAAGTAGAACTTTGCAGCAGTATATTGCACAACTGTTCATTTTAATTGACTTTAATGTATTCCGGATTTGAATGTTCGACACAAAACCCTACCAGGTAGCTTTTCATTATTTTTCTTCCTCTGGGACGCTACGCTGCTACAAGCACTCCACCATTGCCTGTCACTATTTGAAACACGCCCAGTTTACGTTGTTGACTAATGGATATGAGGTGATGAATTTCCACTGCACCTTTTCATCCGGACTCATGATAAATATTCATCACAGCTTAACTAGAAGAAACAAGGTAGGAATGCTGGCTCTTTCGGTTGGTTGGTTTATCAGTAATACGGATGGCCCCATTCTGGGAGATCAGGCAAAAATCAGGTGATACAATTTTCCAAAAAACAAAAAAAACTAAAGAAACGATTTATCTATTTTAGCGGAAATTGGAGTAGTATACTTATTGAAGAAGAAGCTGAACGTTACACGTTGTCCGTCGTCACTAATTGCACATAATAGCTAAAACGTGTCACATAAAAGGCAGCGTGGCCCCGCCACGGTGGCCTAGTGGCTAAGGTTCTCGGCTGCTGACCAGCAGTCCGGTCGTGGGATTGAATCCTGGCTGCGGCGGCTGCATTTCCTGTGTAGGCAGAAACGTTGTAGGCCCGTGTGCCCAGATTTGGTTGCACGTTAAAGAACCCCAGGTGGTCGAAATTTTCAGAGTCCTCCACTACGGCGTCTCTCATAATCATATAGTGGTTTTGGGGCGTTAAACCCCACAAATCAATCAATCAATCAATCAATCAAAAGGCAGCACGCACTTCTTCGTTTTTGTTTGTAAGCTAGGGCCTCTGAGTTAAGTCCAAAGACCTGTACCAACTAAGTATATTTAATGTGATGTTTATGTTATCACTCTATTCGCATGGTTGAAGGGAAGCATCAAATCTTTATTAAAGTGTGCCAAATGTTGATCCCTCTCTCTAATATTGTAATAATTGTTGAAGTTTAACATCCCAAAACTACCACATGATTGAGAGGCGCCGTAGTGGAGAGCTCTGGAATTTCGGCCACCAGAGGTTCTTTAGCGGGCACCTAAATCTAGGCACACGAGCCTCAAGCATTCTCGCCTCTATCGGAAATGCGACCACCGCGGCCGGGATTCGGTCCCGCGACATGCGGATCAACAGCCCATTACCTTAGCCACTAGACCACCGCGGCAGGTTTGCCTTCTAGCTCGAGTAATGTCAACAAAAACAAATCGCGTCGCTACGCAAGGTTCATTTTTACACACTTCAATGGGCAATAGTAGCAGAAAACACGTGCCCCACACACACACACACAACAAACACATACACACACAAACACATACATACACACCCAAACACATACATACACACAGACGCATACATGCACACAGACGCATACATGCACACAAACACATACATACACACAGGCACATACATACACATACAAACGCATGCATACACACACAAACACATGCATACACACACAGACACACACCATGCGCGCGCTTGGCGAGCCTTGGTGAAATTTGCAGCGTGCGAGATTAATTACACTGCAGAAACTGCTCAGCGAAAGAAAGCAAACAGG